CCTGTAGCTGCAAGTCATCCACGCATCCGCCGCGCTCAACGCGTCGGCGTGCACTGAACGGCGAGCGCGCGGCGGGTCCTATTTATGCCTTCGCGCGCACCCGCGCCGTAACATCTCTATGTACTACTTACTCAATCAGACTTGTACTATTTCTAAGATATACAAAAGTATATAAGTAGTAACATTCGTTGATTAAATGTCGAGCTACACCAAGCCACACCAAGCTAGCAAGCCACAGCAATAGCCTTCGACTCCTGAACAACCAGCGTTTTATTTGCCTACCAGCAGCTACACAATAGGCTCCTAAATACCTTTCGAGGCTTGCTTTGCGTTGGATTCCTTTGCGTTGCGCGAGTTTGATATCTAGCAAGCTTGATATTCCCGCGCAAGCAACAGGGAACGTTTGCGGAGGACAGCACCTCTGGCCAATCACAGAGCAGCAGCGTCCATGCTTCCACTACAAGCAAATCAAAGACAATGCGCCGCGCATACGCACAAGTCTCTCCGCGACGCAACGCCTTTGCGCGGAAGGCAGATTTCTACGCGCCGTGTACGCAGCCAACGCAAGCAATGCAAACGCAAGTGAAACACTCGTGAACCTGGCATTAGACACTCGCGCACTACATCGATACAAACGCGCGATTGCATCGCTACACCTGGGATATAAAAAGCGATTGTATCTATCCAATCGCGCGTTTGTACCGACACAGTCGCGAGATGACAAGTGTAGCGATACGATCGCGCGTTTCACGAACGCGCTTCAATTGACAAAGTAGTTGTTTTTATTTGCCTAAGCAGTACATAACTGTAGGTATTATCGTCAGGTAATGAGCATTAATTTATAATAGCGAGCATTCGAGTGGAAAACATGCAACTGTAATAAATAACACACTAGCTCTTGTGTACATTTTTTACTAACGTGTCTTATTAATGATGTATTGATAAATTAATCAAAGAAAATATGTTAAGAAAGCCCGTGTATGTGGCGAAAATGATGAACGTGTTTTAAGACTAATTCATTCATTCAATTCGAGTTCAAAAACGAAATTAGTTTTTTTTTAATGGCACGAATCAAATGTTTTTATAATTAGATACATATTCAATTTTCTTCCACAGAACCAAACATCGTATTACAACGCGTTGGACTAACCAAGTAATTACAATACAACGCAAAATAAACAACACAAACTGTTTAATAGTAGACCAATATTTTTTTTTATTAAAAGGAGGCAGAGAGCGCTCTATAATTATAATTAGATACACTAATTGCAAAAAAAAACACATTTATGAATAATTAAATGTAGGTATATTATTGTTAACAAGTCAATATAACTACGTAAAAACTATACTGAAACAAGAATGTATTCTAACAGTATACACAGGTGGCTAAATAAATTTTAGTTGCTGAACTACATTTCTCTAAATTTAAAACAATATTTTAAATAGTGATAAAATGATAAATGAAAAGGATCACTACAGCGTTGTTCAAACGTCATCGAATATATAACCAGAAATAGAGACGAAATAAGGGCCATCCATCACTCGCAACTCATCATAAAAATGGGACTTATATCACTTTTAAATATCAACTCTCGTTTGCACTGAAATCACAAATTAGAAAGCTTAAATAGTACAGCGCCACCAACTGACCTGTGTATACGTCTCCGTATATTCCAAAAATATTCTGTATTTATTGTAAGATAATATCTCTAACTATGGGGGGCTATTCTATTCGAGATATGGAAAAACAGGAAAAACAGCAAAACATCTATCAGTCACATTTCATAATAATTAAATATGTATTTTTTTGATTTTCGTCCAGTATAGCAACGCTCAAGTTAAACTGGACGATTTGAAGTACAACAATTGACGATACCCGTCAATTGTTTGGAATTCGGGCTGGCCAATCGGAGCGCAGTAATGATTAGCCAGAGTAGTTTTCAAACAAATTAAATGACATTTCGTCTCTATTTCTGGTTGCCGAAACAGTACACCATCACAAGAAACCGTGATTTTGTTTATGATGCAAAGTGATGAGACGAGAAGTCGTGCGCCTGGTGATAAGCGACACGACTGTTCATAGCAGTTGCGGTATCAACCTGAGACGTGACGACGAGGAAGACCAAGAATGAGATAACTTGGACGCGTATCAGGGATTAGCCTGACATTACGTCAAACAGGGAGCTGCGATGTCAAACTAAGTTTATTTAAAAAAAATCCGTTTGACAAATTTACAACTTTATACACACGTTCTTCATCGAGTCATTGTCGTCAGGAAATGGATAGTGGACGTTTCATCATCGTCTCTTCAAGCTAATATGATGTCCTTCTTCCGACTTAAGCATGACGTCAACTTTGAGCTGCATTTTGTCCCATTCGCCCGTGATGCGGTAATGCCGAAGTATGTGAGAAAGGGTTACCTTCAATGACATTAGTGCGTAGCCTTTACCTGTAGGCAGAGATGGTCACGTTTTATTACAATAAAATATAATAAATAATAAACGAAATACACACACACACACACACACACACACACACACACACAAACACACACACGCACACATTATTTAAATGAGCCGTTAAATAACGCACATACTCATACCCCACACTAGGGAAACCCCTGTATCGCGGGTGCTATGGACACACACATAGACAAATTCCAAATTACACCCAAACTCACGAGGGAAATAGATATAGGCCATACAAATATTTCTCCCAAATCGGTAATCGAACCGGGATTCTGCGTGGCAGACCAGCATAATAATGGCAGAGAACAAAAAGTAAAGAGAACGGACACTCTCCGCCCCTCCCTAGTTTTAGATACCGCACCACGCCCCGCACATTGCCGGTCATATTGACTGAACGACAACAAGGCTGCCGGCGAGCCGTTTTCGCGCGAAGACGGCTTTGATATTTGAATATAGTCTTCATTTATTCATTACAAAACTTGTACGTCAATATAAAACATTATTTTACGTTACTATTTATAATGGTCGTGAATTGTGCTGTGAAAGGCTGTTTATCAATTTTCCGAAAGATGAAACGAAGTAAGCAAAAAAAATGTATGTCAGTTATTGTTTTCTTCATTTATTTACTGCAGAGTAATATATGTATGCATAAAAATATAGATTTATTATATCAATATAATGAAGCGCCATGACGTCGTAGGCAAGGGTTCTCGAATTTTCAATTCGTATTGCCGATAAATATTACGTAAGTAATGAATATACCTAATTATAGGAAATGAACTTAAGAACTCAAAATATACCTAATTATTAAGAAAATAATGATAATCAACTTGGACACGCAATTTCAAATACCTTGGTTACCTTATTTAATTATTTAGTACATGTCCAAAGTATAACATTTTAACGGCTTTTAATATATTTTTTAAATAAACCTTCAATATTACTCTAGTTAGTGAATTAATGAAAAATATGATATTATATCGATATAAACACATAATAGACATGTGTAATAATTTGGGTTCTGGATTCTATTAATAGAATCATAGATAACAAATTCTCGTTAGCATTTTCGCTATGTTGCCGCTCTGATCACGTAAGGTAATAGTGCAAGAAAGTGAAGGGTAACCCTGCCACTTCACGCACACATTTGCGCGTGTGCAGATAGCGCCTTGGTGTATGTAGTAGGTAAATAATTTTCAACTGTTGTATGGAGTGTCCGGAATGTGGTAAAGGTTCGGCCACGGAGGCAGTTGATCACTCGTAAAAAACCCAAAATAAAGCAGTGTTTTTTTCAAAAAGCTAGCCGATTATTTTTTATTTTAGGTTTATTTTGAAAATAAAAAAATAGTCGAGTGTCATTTGTTTTCATGTATAGAAGTTGATTTTGCGATCTTATAAATTTCGTAAATATTACTTAGTCAAAAAAGTTTTTAGTTTTTAGCGGCAGTGTGCGGAGGGTATTAATTTACCGCTGCTATCGCGTTGTCCGGCGAAACCAATTTCACAAATCAAGCGATAATGAAGGATACGGCCGACTTGGGCGGTATAGCGCGGCTTCCCGATTTCGCTCCAGTCGCGGAATTTCATACAAACATTTTTTTGCTATCCACAACGATAGCTAATACCGCTTACATCTCATAGACCTTAATTTCAGCTGCTTGTCGCTAATTTGTCTATCGTATCAACGTCCCTGGAGTATTTCTATTACGTAATTTCTTTCACGAGAGTTTCTTTCTACGGAAACTGCGCTCAAGAAATCCTAAGTAAGCCGATTAAGGCCAAGTCTTTTTCTAAAACTCGATGTGTAATATTTACGGCCTGAAATTGTACATGCATACTAAATCACATTAACAATACCGATGCAATGACGCCGACCCATGCTGAAGGTAGCGAATGCATTCGGTTGATCCGGCAAGGTGGCATGATCGAGCCACCGTTCAGGCTTGAACACGTGGGCGTCTTTCCCCCATATCGGATGTCTGTTGATTCCGTACACTGATATGAAACACATGCGACCCGCTGTCAAGGTGTAATTTTCTGAGAACAAATAAAAAAGTAAGGTACGTGCTGAAGACAAAATTTTTTAAGTACCTGTTACGTCTTCTCACGTTAAAATATGTCACGGAAATTCAAAGAGATTTTCGATGCAATGTAGTTAACACAATGTATGACTAAAAGCAGATGATCTTGTTATATATGTTTAGAATACTTATTTATAACATTGTACACAAGTAGCAACAAATAAGTAATATTTTACACAAACACACCACGCATACACATAAACTTAAAATAACCGTTATAAATACCTTGAAACAACCGTATGCGTAAAAAAACCGTTCCATTAATGAATGGAACGGTTTTTTTATGCATACCTACACAACACTTATAGTTTTAGAGAATTTACGGAAGCACTAAGGAGTGTTACACCAGTCTATCCCGAAAATTTCTTAAACTCAAGCAAGAGCTACGCACCTAACTGCCCTTACGCGTCAACACCTTTTCAATTTACGTATCACGGACAGCCCTCTATGCAGAGCGTGCATGGAGGAGGAGGAGGAAGGGGCTGTGCATATCCTACTAGACTAGAATGCTCTAGCCTGGCCAACTACAAGGTATTTCACCTTGGAGTGCCGAGGTCACTCCGCAAAGTCCTCAGCAAATCCACGACAATGCTAAGATTCTGGGTTGAGCTCGGGTGGCACGAAAATATACCCAGACGATGAGTTACGGACACAAGCCCGTTACGCCATACCACGTACTATACACTTCATGCCGTTTTCTTATCAAGGTAACCAAAGACCACATCCTTCCACTTGCTACGCTGACACACCTTTTTCGCCTCATCAACACATATCAATGCTTTCATACACGATTGTCGGTTAAGAAAAAGATCTTAAAACTGTCCTTACTAAGTTTCAAATTTCTGTCTACGTTTCGAGCCATGATGGGCGCGATGGGCAGTATTCTCATACTCTCTTTGATCACCGCTTCTAAGTATGCCAGGGAAGTCAAATCACACTTCTCTACTTCTCTGTCTGAATCACCAAATACTTCGTTTAACCTGAAAACAATTAAACATCTATTTTACTTACCTATTTCTGTCGCCAAGTAGTAACGTCAACATTACTGTATTTCGGTTTTGAATGGTAAGGTTGCTGGTGTAATTACAGGCACACGGGACTTGTCAACTTATGTCTCTGGGTGACGGGCACAGTGGCAGTGCCCAGTCAGATCTTTGCGATTTAAAGCTCTGAGAGGCACTGCAACTGCTTTGAAGAAGCATGTCTGTTATAGACAGGCGTGTAGCTTCTCATCAGGCGCACGACTTGTTCATCCCATCACTAGATATTATAATTTAAAAAATCTCAAGATTTCTTCACTTTCATGTCGGGAAGATCACAAAATTCTTCAAAGACATCTACATTCTTCCTTACCGGTTCAATTGCCAGTTTTCACTAAAGTACGTGGTTTGATGATAGTAACGATTGTTTATATGTCTTTGTAAAGAACACCTACAAGTTAACCGAAAATATCACGCGTCTTTAAAAATAGCGGTACAGGTCAAAAATAATCAGAAATGAGAAAATAATATCGATAGTCTGTGAAAATTTAAACTGGGTAAATTCTAAAAACTTTCCGAATTTTTACACTATAATGGGTACAAAGGGATCTTTATCCTTATTCAGTGAGGACTTACAATTTTACAGGCAATTATACTTACTCCTCAAAAATCTTTTCCTGAACTTTTGGATGCGAACCAATCAACACCATAATATACATAAGAGCGGCTGCTGACGTATCGTGTCCGCCTAGTACTATTGACTCAACATGATCTACAATATCCTGTTTCGTAAATAAGTCCTTCTTTGAAGAGATATCCAAAAGAAGATCTAGGAATGGCCTTGATTTTATACCTGTGAAATATTTATAAGTTCTAACATTTGTAATAAATTTAAAAAACACCAAAAAGCAGATCTCAAGAGGTTATCAGACGCATAATCCTCCTTATCAATTTCGATAACAGCGACCCTTTGATATTAGTTCCATGTGCCCTAATGTAACTCGCCATACCGAATTTTGTCTTAAATGATCACAAATAGAGCAATAAAATTGGCCTGCAGAGTTAAAAGTATAGGTAAAGGAAAGCTTAGGGCTCTTTCTACATATTTCGCGTTTCTCGTTTAATGTTTCGAGTCGCTTTTATTCGAATCTTTTTACATTTCTATATATAATACATCGCAAGTCGACCAGATGTAAAGAGGTACCCGCGACACACGATACAGGATTTCCTTAGTGCAGGGCTATGAGTGTGGGCATTATTTTTTATTTTTTCATACAAATGGTAACAAATAGATCACATCGTTATAAAGTAAAGTAACACACTAATAACATTAGTCATTAAAAACCTTTTTTATCCCAAGAATTTTCAGGAACACCGTTGCCATAAATATTGGACTGCTTTCTTTCTAATACCTGCAACATTAAGGTTTTAAGAGAAATAAAAGAGCAACTGTGAAAGTGTTTTATCCAATACGACCAAATTCTGATAAAGTTGAAGTAAATTAAAAGCCGATATGTTGGGAAATTGCTATATACTCGTAATTAAATGATTTAATAACAACACCAATGTACTGCCGTCCTTATTATATATAACTAACACAATCGATATTTTTAGCGAAATTGGATTATTGACATAATTGGAATCAGCTAAACGAGGTCTACAACCGCCTTACTTTGTTTCAATTATAATGCAAAATCAACTTATTTAGTTTCAGTTTTATTGCAAAATCAACTTATTTAGTTGCAATTTCATTGCAAAGTCAACTTATTTAGTTTAAGTTTTATTACAAAATCAGCTTATTTAATTTCAATTTTATTGCAAACTCAACTTATTTGGTTTCAGTTTTATTGCAAAATCAAAATCAGGATTTGACATTTAATATGAAAATTTAATTTACCATGAACTTTTGAGTTAAGGAAAACATCGTCTTGAAACGTGTCCTTCGAAAAAGGTTCACAACCCTCGGAAAACGTGTGAAGTCTCTAACCCGCATTGAGCGAACTAGGCGGACTATGGCTTAAACCCTGGCCTGAGAAAAGGCCCGTGCTCTGCAGTGGGACGTATAATTGATGATAAGTAACTGACCTTGACAAGTATTTTGTCAGTTTGCTCCGTCATAAGGACAATAAGTTGTTGCGGCCCACTCGTCAAATATTGGAAGAAGAAAAAATTTAAATTTTATTTTTCGTAGTTTTCAATTTAGTTTTATTTCATATTTTAATATAGTTTTTTTTCATTGAATGTAAACAATAGGATTTATAAATAGTTTTTTTTTAATTAAGTTGTTTTAAGTGATTATGACGATGATGTGTTCGGCTGTAATTGGCTCGCACACTTGTATTATTTATATTTATCTTGTATTATTATAATAATGTATATAAATATTAAGTGTGTTAAGCTGTTGCTGAATCAATATATAAATAAACATAGTATCGAGTAAGTGTATCAATTTATAAAATAAAGTAAAAAAGATGAAGAAATACCACATAATCCAACTGGTGTAGCTTCTCCAGCAATTCATCCTGCTTCTTCTTGAGACTGGTCCAGTTGAAGAACTTAGTCTTATGCAAAAATACGTTGTGGAATCTCTTAACCAATACTTCGAACATTTCTTCGGCTGCTTCCAGGTATTGTTTTATTACCGGATTGTCATTCAAGTCTACGCCTAGGGTTGTCACTGTAAGAGCGGTTACACACGGTGACTTTTAGCAGTAGTAGCGATACAGTCACTAATCGTGTAGCTTTACACACACGCGCGACTTTAAGCATCGATGCGAACGCGATGCAAACGCGATGCAAACGCGATGCAAACGCGATGCAAATGCGTTGCAAACGCGATACAAACACGATACACGTTTTAAATTAACTAATTTATTTATTTAATGTATTTATTAATTTCACTTTTAAATTTACAATTAACAAAACAAAACAATGTGTTAAACCTATACATAAATTACTCAACATAAACGACTGTATAGATACCGTTGCGCGTTTGCATCGATACAATCGTGCGTTCGTATCGATGCAGACGCGCGTTTGTATCGATCCAGTCGCGCGTTTGCATCAGTGCAATCGCACGTTTTTATCAATGCAATCGCGCGTCTGACGATGAGGTCGACGATGTAGCATGCACACCATAGTCCCTATTCACTCTCGCCTTGAAAAGGTCCAAGTTATGGTATTCGGGGAACAAGTCCGCAGGCAGGAAATTCCACTCCCGAGCCGTTCGTAATATAAATGTGGAAGCGAAACACTTCGTGAAAATCCTGGGCATATCCACAACATAGGGGTGGAACCCCAGCCCACGTCTAGCCCAGCAATCTAGAACTGTGATGTTTTGTTCTCAGATTGCACCTAAGATTTCAGGTGCAATCTACATGATTCGCTGGATTCGAAAATTACTGGTTAAAGAGCCCGTGTATAATATAATAATATGTACCAGAAAAACCACCATTGACTGGTCTCAAACGAGGAAATTCCCTGTGCTATGAGTGCCAGAACTACAGAATTCTGGGGCACTTCCCAAACACCCAAACCAGAACCAATTCAGAAAAATTAATTTCCCAAATTGGTCCTACCAGGAATCGAACACGGGACCTCCACATCCAGCGCCCATAATGTAAATTGATAGGCCACCGAGGTTGTCAAGTCGTGTAGGTATGAAAAAAAGCACATGAATCCGACAAATAACTTTTAAATTACTTACAACAAATAGTCTCCAAAGCATATATCCTGGTATAATGCCAATGATCGAATGGTCCCTTGTCTACTTCGACTTCTAAACTCTTGACTAGTCGTTTCGCTTGCATATTAAAGATTTGTATGAAACTATCCACGACAGACGGGCTGAATGATGGATTTAGCAGTTTGCGGTGAGTCTTCCATATTGGTACTTGAAAAGAAAACGTCTTAATGGAATAAGAAGCTTCGGCTTAAAGAAGATAAAAATAATGCTGCACAATCATGTGCAGTTCTAACACAATAGGCTGGTCTTTTTTTATAAAAAATAAATGCGCATATGACCTCCATCTCACCTGATGGAAAATGATGATGAGGTCGACGATGTAGTATGCACACCTAAATAATGCCTATTCACTCGCGCTTTGAAAAGGTCCAAGTTATAGTGTTCGGGAAATAAGTCTGCAGGTAAGGATGTCCACTCTTTAGCGGCTCGCCATATAAATGTCATGCCACAACATAGGGGATGATGGAAAGGGGAAGGCGAAATCAAATTATGCAATTCCATCGCACACTCTACTTGGTATTATACAGATGGCAGCTCATCAAGCTACACATTGACGAATCTTATTCCGTTGCACTGGAGGCAATATTCGAACATAAATGTAAACTTGTAATACAAACTTGATCTACAGCTAAGTCTATTCAGCGTACAATTGACCTAGGATTTATTTTAAAGATTAGTATTTTATTACGAGTACAAAGATAGAACACACCGAATTTGTTTTCGTCGACCCGGTGAGATATGAACCTAGTCCATGCTGCACCGTAGCATTGCTCTTTACCAACTGAGCTACAGGTCCAGTTACCGAGCCGTCGAAATTCTCCTATGTGTTTTTTGTTATATCTTTGTAGTGGCTTTCGGCATTCGTCGCCGCTAGTGACATCTAGTGAGAGATTTTTTAATAACCTTCTCACCGCAGCAATGTCGCTTCGATAAAATGTATTTATTGAGATTTATAGAATAGATAGATTAATACATTTCGGGACTTTCTAATCGGTCAAAAGAAGAACCGTGACGGTGGAACTAAAACACACATCTCTGAAACATATCTGATTGCAAAACAGTAATGGTGATCCCCTTAAGACTATATGAATATTATCTGAAGATAAATAAATAAACTTACACTTTGCTGTGGCCAACCCATTTCCAAGCCAAGGTCGCGCGAATCTATAGAACCCTTCTTTTGCCAAACAATTATTAGCGACTGTAGTACTGTCCTCTGGATCTGTCACTACTGAAAGTAAAATAATGGTCGGTCAAGACACCGGAGACGAAGCGGGTAGGTGTGATGCGGTGCGTAAGTAAGGCGGTGGTATGTTGCGACTCCGCATTGTTCGTATCACATGTGGCTCTCGGTGGGCTGAAATCACATACCTTGCGACACACGCAAGGTACTGGCAACGCCCATGTGGCGTTGATCTTGCAAAAAAAGAGACCTAACAGTTTTTTCATCACTTATGCGATAAACTAGGCGGTATTTTTAACATACGGTCGTAGAGCAGCAATGGGATTTTAGTTTTATTTCTACTCTCCCTCGAACCGCTCGGAGCGCGGAAGCCTCGAAGTAGAGACCTTGCGCACCAAGAGGCTCAAATTGCAGTGGACTTTTTGATTTAATTTAAAAAAATATAAATACAATCGAATTTATTTTATTTCTAATTTTTATAACATATTCTATACACATATATACCATGACACATTATTATGTAAATTTAAAAGATTCTACATTTTATAATAATAATTATCATTGTTATTATTATTATTTATTTATTCATACATAAAGCCCAAGCAAGAAGTTTTAAGGATTTGTGAGATACTTAAAAGTTTATGAATAAACTATAACGTTATTGAATCTAATTTTCCTTTTTTTCAACTTCCTACGTACTACGTACGTTAACGTAGACGGAACAGCAATTAATGTAGTATGCGCTCGGCTTCGGCTGGGGCTTGAATGTACCTGTTCGCAATTGTCTACCGCCCTTGTGACACAATATAATATACTGTCAAATTCCGAACGCTATTACTGACAAAAATCAATGAAACAGTCGTTACTAAAGAAAATTATAATTTTCAAAATTAGTAACAATTAGTAGTGGTGACGCTATATATTAAAAAGTTTGGTTTTAATATATATATATAATAAACTATAATCTGATAAAAGACGGCGTTGCCAAGTAGCAAACAGTAGTAACTCATCTAACACTTACATACATCCTTTTCGCTTTTGTAGCCAGGGAAATACTGCCACCATAACTATTTCTGCCTCCAATCAGTAATGTGAGTATAACGGTATTCGGGTTTTGAAGGGTAAGGGTGTTGGTGAAATTACAGGCACATGGGACTTGTCTACTTATGTCTCAGGATGACGAGCGCAATGGCAGTGACCCTAAGATCTTTGTGATATAAAGTTCTAAGTGGCACTGCAACTGTTATGGATAGACGTTTCGCATACCACCAGGTGCACGACTTGTTTGAGCCACCACTTGGTATAATAAAAAAAAAATGGATGGACGAACTGAGAAAGGTAGGTAAGTGAAGGCAGCGGTTGAATGTGGCACAGGACCGAGAGAGTTGGCGTGCTCAGGGGGAGGCTTATGTCCAACAGTGAATGCATGTAAGCTGGTGATGAAAAATCTACTAAACCGACACGTCACTTCTTACTGTACTCACTGGCACTGCAGTGACCCAAAGACCTTTGCGATTTAAAGCTCTAAGTGCACTGCAATTGTTATGGATAGGCGTGTCGTTTACCACTACCCAAAAAAAAAAAGAATGTACAGTCAAGAGTACATCATGCTTGACACTTTGTACTTAGGACCGTTCTTATCGTAAGCGATACAGAGTTGGATTTAAGTCAGAAGTGTAAAGATGACGTGCTCTTGACCCTGTACAATAAATAAATTATTAGCAAATTATGAACAGTAGATCTTTCTTGTTACTTTACATTACTAATAATGTAATTGTTAAGAGCAATGACAGCAATGATTATGATTTGCATTGTAGCGCTGGACGCGGAGGTCCAGAGTTCGATTCCCGGTGGGGCCAATTTGGGAAACGAAGTTTTCTAAATTGGTTCTGGACTGGGTGTTCTGGAAAGTACCTCAGAGTGAATTCCGTTGCTCTAGTACTCATAGTACAGGGAATTCCCTGCTTTGAGACCAGGCAAATGGTGTGGTTGTCTGGTACATGAATTTTTTTGTTATCTGTTTTGGTGTCCATTTTATAACTAATTAAATATGGATAATGAAACATAAAGCCACTCATGCCATTGTTCCAATTTTGCGAATACATTGCTGTTGTGCTGCCCTTCAAACCGGAACACAGTAATCATGCTAGCAGTAGAAATAAAAAAACGATGGTACTAACAACAAACTCGTCGCAGTCCCACCTTAAGGATTCTTTTCCCGGGCTGGCAACGGTGGTCAGAAACGACCCCCCGCATTTTGCTTGTTCTTGTCAAACAATAGCATAACAAAACATAGCAAGTAATGAAATGAATTACTTGAAAATACAAAAGTTTTTCACAAAAAAGGTCAGCAAAAGTCAAAGACGAGACTAGTTACAATCTCAGCTTGCAAACAAAAATGTTTTGAAACCAAGACTGTGTCATATTTACTGATAGTACCTACGGAGTTATAACCAATAAAGTTGTAAGTATATCATACACCACAGACTACAAACCATAGACCGTGACTGGCCCCACAGATACTGTAAGGACTCCTCCCAATTCTGTAGTTTTCGCCGACACTTCCTGAACGGCTCGCCATAAATCTGAAATAACAATAAAATGGTTTATTTATCTCAACACACGTAGTATCACAGTGGTGTGAGATAAAAAAGTCTGTAGCTCAGCAAAATGGCAGTGTTTAACAGATAACACAGCCTGTCGTATGTATAAAGAGCTAAGCCACACATCTATTTATTTACTTATTACCATATTGCACATGTACATTAAAATGGTATTTTATTAAAGACTTACAAAACTAGGAAATGAAACTATTTTTCCGGATTTACATCGATTTGTTTTTTCAAAAAACCGACGTTTCGGGCCCTTTACAGGTCCCATGGTCCCATCCCAAAAATAGTTTCATTTCCTATGTGTAACAATCGCGAAAACCTAAGAACTGGATACTTAAAAAACTAATTATTAAATTATTATTCCTACTTCATATGTAATAACCTCAGTACAGAGTACCTTCCAAAAAAACCGACCTCAAAAGTCATTCATCCCTTAGTTTGCCACCCTTAGCGGTGGAATATTTTCTTCAAATTTAAATTCAAATGGGACCACACCTGAGAAACCCTCTTTCCAACAAAAAAGAATCATCAAAATCGGTTCACAAATGGCGGAGTAACGCGTAACATACCATAAAAAATAAAAAAAAACATACAGTCGAATTCCGATCAGAGAACCTCCTCGTTTTTTGAAGTCGGTTAATTAGTAAATGAGATCGAGACTCGAGCTTTCCGTCAATGGTGACTTTATTTACCAATTAAAATTTCTTTTATAGAATAGTATGATTTTTGGATGAGAAATTGTTTTAGTTTTTTTTAAATGTGTTATTATTATTTTCTTTTTTCATTCATTTAAAATAGATGTGTGCAATGGACTATTTCTGCATATTTCTAATTTACTTTGAAAGATATTGTTCCAATCTTGAGCAAATGAATAAATAGTTAGCAGTAAATAGTTATATATTGTACACAAATGCTTCTTTTATGTACTTTTAAGCTATTTTCACTGTGCTACTCGAGCTTTCAACGTCAAGGTGAGTCACCGACGGAGATTGCTAGATCAAATGATTTAGGTATGGTCTTACAAAAAATATACGGTACACCTAAAACCGGCTAAAATAACGCACTCACTCCACAATGATGCACACACTCAACATAGCACTAGGGAAACCTATATCGCGGGTGCCATGGACACACACATAGACAACCACAAACCACACCCAAACTTACGAGAGAAATAAATGCAGGCCATATAAATATTTCTCCCGGCACGGGAATCGAACCCGGGACCTCTTACGTGGCAGTCCAGCATGGTAACTGTTCGGCCACGACGGCATCAAAATAAAAGTCTATTCGCTTTTACATAATTTTTATACGCAGACATTTCTCTTTAAGTACTACAGACAACTTGCTAAATAACGGTTTTGAACTGAAGCACCGTTAGTTATTAAATTCACATTTATCTCAAAATTTGCAAATTACCCAGTGGTTTAACGACACGTCGCTGCCCCGTCAGTCACCATCGGGCGCTTGTGCTGTTCTTATTTTATTCACATTAATTTACAGCGCGCGGATTGCGGGACGCGAGGTTCGATCCGCCCACACCTCACTACCTAAAATCTAAGCTTGAGTGGAATACCACGCCTTTGTAATCTGAGCTACGCCTTAAATTTAAAACACCCTTTTAAAATAAATGCACCAACCTAAAATGAATGCATTTATATTGTTTGAAACGATTATAAACCTCAACGTGATAATATCATATTATTTCCTGGTACATATTGTATTCATTGTTTCTGACGCAACATTGAGTATAAATTATTACCCTTTTAGAAAAAAAATTACTGCGATACAAAATTATTTATATTACCACTTAACTTTTTAACCGCATAAGGACAGTTCTTAAAAGTATATAATATTGTTCATTACTTTGAGTCCTTTACTTAATGCTAGGTCATTATTATAAAGACTATTGGAAGTAATCAATTTATATGTACAATAGACCTTCAAAATGGAAATAAAAATAAATATTTATAATACTAATAAATAATGTGCCAGATTATTTAGAACCTCACTAATTATCCACATGGTATCAAGCTGAGAAATTCCCTGTACTATCTATCCGAAACTACCAGACCAAAATCTACTTACAAAACTTAGTTTCTCAAATTGGTCGTACCGGGAATAGAACCCGAAATCCTTCATCACATTGTGAACAATATTCCACAGTGCTAGTGTGGTTGTCTGGTTCTTTATTATGACTATTGTTGTATACGCTGTCCAACTCAATCCAGTTGTTTTTTTTTTTTTTTTCAATTTAACTAATAATGTGCCCATGGCTTATTATATGTAATGTATGTATGTGTAAGTGGGTGTTGTAATTTTCAGTTTTGAGGATTCAGGAATGACAAGACGAACAAGTGGTGCGCCTGGTGGCAAGCAACACACGTATCTATGTATAACTAAAATTTTTTAGCAAAAAAATAGTTTCATTTCCTATCTTTAAGAATCGCGAAACTGAAAACTCGATAAAAGTTATTTCTAAAATAGTTTTACAAGAAGTCAAAACTTTGCAAGCATTTTTATAATTACTTTATATGGTTTGCTAAAGGTGAAAATTCGTAAATGACATTTGATTACTCATATATTATTAGGGGTTAAAGTATGAAATTGCCGTTTTATTGCAATAGGTTCTTTGAATTTTCATAGAATCTTCATGGTTTGAGGTTTTCGAATGAAACTTTTTTCAAATGGCTTCTGTGTTTTTTTTTTTTTAAATTTGAAACATTTGAATATCGACTTTCAATTGTTTTTGTTATTCAATT